TTAGCTATAATTATATATCATTTACAATTTTCTTTTACACAATATTTCAAGAAGTGCATTACAGTATTAAACTATTTAAACTATTTTATAAATTGAGTCTTTACAATTCGTTAACATTACTGAGATCTTAAGAACATATCTTCTTCTGTTTCTGTAATAATTTCCATTATGTCTTTTATTTTTATTATTCCATTATGTCTTTTTTTTCCATTATGTCTTTTTTGTAACTTTTTTCTCTTACGTTTTGAAATTAACATGAGTTTTCCCATAGACAAAATAAAAGTGGAGATTTTTCTTCCAAAAAACATTAAAGTGAAAATTTTCGACCTAAAAAAATCTAAATGAATTTTTTCAACTTTTTAAACTCAAAGTGTAATTTTTCTAATTACATTTTGAAATTAACACGGGTTTTCCCATAGACGAAATAAAAGGTGGAGATTTTTCATCTTAAAAAATTAAAGTGAAAATTTTTCCAACTCAAAAAAGCAAACTGTTTCTTTTGAGCCCTATTGGAAACTGTGGTGAACATTTTTCGCCTTAAAAAACAAACACATTCAGAAGTTATCAACAAGATTTTCTACTCAGTTATATTTTTCTACTTCTCATGCCATTACTTTTCCAATGAAATTTGATTCATTGCCAGATAGTTAAATGTTTGTTATTTTTCTCGCATACGAATAGATTTCGTGTCTCACACCCGCTCATTACATGTGATTTAACAAAATTACGAACAAATTAGAAGTTAAATGAATATTTCCTGAAATACTGTACATTTCATTTCGGAAGGTTTACATGAGTATCTTCATTTTGGATCCTTTAATGTTTCTTTTCCTACATCCAAAGTAACTTTTGAGTATAAAATTTTCAGTTTTGACGGTTAGTTTCAGTTTCGGTTTTGACGGTAATTTTCAGCTTGAGTTATTTGCGGGTGGCTGTGATGTGTTCGTGTTTTCATAAGCCGTTTTTGTGAAGAAGTACCGTATTGTTAACCTTTTGAACACTTTGAATATTATCATTTTTGACATTACTGCCACTGCAAATCATTGAACTTTCAAATATTTTCCTATTTATCGTTTACAATGCCTCGTAAAGTCTTGGAAACAAACTTTTACTTTATTATTATTATATTTATTAAATTATTTTATTTTATAATTTTTTACACGTTTAGAAGATTTAACTTCAACAACACTACCACGCTGAACCAGAAGTTAAGAAAAGAAATGGAATTTTTATCTTAGTATTCTATGGGAATATATTAATTTTCTCTGACATTGACGCATTCGTATGTAGATAATACAGACTTTTAACCCATCTCATACAGACTTGGAATATTTTCTCTAAGTCACCACGATCACTGACTTGCAGTGTCATAGATTTTTCTCGTGAAGTCTATTTCCTTCTTAAAAGAAGTTTATATAGTATTTCATTAGAAACATACCTAAGGAAATACCTCATCTTCATAAGAAACATCAGCGCTTTGATTTAAACTAGTAATAAAATAAGAATCATAGTTTCGTAAATATGTTTCTCTTTGACTCAAAAGTTTCAACTTTATCATATACGAAATGAATGCTTAACCGTACATAACTAATATATTGTATTGATGAACTAGAATTATATTTTCCCTTTCTGCATTACATTTCAAGTGAACATGTTTATTGCATCTTTTAATAAACCTTAAAGGCTGAAATGAGTATTTCATTACCAAATTTGTACTTTCTGAATTCTTTCTACTGAAACGAAAACAATTATAACTTAAATTGCGTAGAAATATTTGTACATGTTATACTTTTTGATTAATTTTCTTACCACTGGATTATATTTGAAAATTTGTTTCTTAATCCAGTGCTAATATATTACTAATTTTCGCTCTTTCAATGCATTTCGTATGTGACAAAAACTCAGTATAGAAACTTTTCTTACTTAACACCTTGTATTGCACTGCTGAACCGGGGCTATGCTTTCATTTTTATAACATTACATGCGAATATTTTTAAAAAGGCATATTTTTCCCTTCTGTTAGCACAATTTTAACCAGCATTTTACTATTACAGAGCCTTCTTTAGTAAACTCTCAAGGATTAAACTGAACGTTTCATTATTAATTTTGAAGATTATGGATATATTCTACTTTAAAAGTTCATAACTGATTAGAAAAATAATTTATATATGCACTTCGTTGTGCTCTTGGTTAACTTTTAAATCGTTGTTCGTCTATAACACTTGATTTCTAGTGAAATATTGAAATGATTATTTACATTCCGCTTTTTCCAAAGAATTTCATAGACACATATGTTCAGTACAGAACATTTTCCTAACTTACCAGTATTATTACCAAAATAGAAAACATGAAAAATTTTCATAAATGTTTATATATTTTGTTTCTTCACAAACATGTACACGAATATCCACATTAAATTACTTAATGTGTATTTTCCTATATCAAAACTAAATTTCGGACGAAAGACACTTCTAAACTGTTTTCTCTTTGCTGTTGGAAACTATTTTATCTTTGCTGTTGGTATACGCCAATGATTTCTCGATACTTTTTTGGTTTATCTTCAGCTTATGAGTTATTCAAATACTTAAAAATATATTTGATCGTTTATGTTGAAACGTGATAGATTTCCTGGGTTTGCTTAGAAAATGTATTTATTTTATTCTCGTGAATGAAACTGATGTTTTCTTAAAATTTTATTATTCAGAGTATTAGTCAATTATGACAGAATGCCGGATTTGTTCTCCAGTTATTCAACACTAATATGAACTTCAGTATTCTAAATCTCTCACGTAACTGTAATTTTTCGTATGAGTAATAGGAAGACGAATGGAATAAATGCAGGTTATGCAGACATAAGGTAAAAATTTGGAAGTAAAAGAAATTCTCCAGACCTAGGGAATTTAATAGAATGTGCAAATATTCATCCTATTCGAAGCTTATTTTTGGAATTAGATAGCATATAAAATATAAATTTACTGAAAAGAGAGCTATAATGAAGATCAAGTACTCTGAAAAATGTGAACGGTAATTATGCAAAACTAGTTATATAGAAGTTTATATAAAAAAAAAATAGCCAGCAGTCTCCTAAAACTTTAAGTGAGCATCTGATCTTCGCTCTTACAAACGTTTTTAGTAGAATTGTAAATTCTACGTAAGAGCGAAGATGAAAGGCTCACTTAGAGTTTCCTGAGATTGCTGGCACTTAGCGTAAAATAATAACATGTCTGTAGTGTAAAATAATAGCAAATGAGATGCTGTTGGCACGTATTTTTTGGACTGGAGTAAAGAATAATAAGAAATATCGTTATTTTTCGTATGGTATTTGAAAGAAACTGGCTAGAGATGTCCATTTATTAGTTCAAGTAGAATTTATGTCATGAAAATTTATTATTTCCGAATTATAAGGTTTAATTCAAAGACAGTAAATCATTAAAAATTCCGTATAAGTCTATATTTTTTAGTGAAAAAGGAATCAGAGATATTAACAGGGATACGTTTTAAAACATGATAAAAGTTAAATGTAAGGCAAATGTGTAAATGGAAAACAGAAAGTTTAAAATTTACATTTTTTATGACACGTTTCGTGAACCCTTTGAATAAAAGTAAGATGTGCAAAAGAGAATCCGCGATGTTTTGTATAGTGTTTCAAAATGTTAGTATAATACATTAGAAGAGAAAGTTCGGAGTATCCCCAGTCAAGTGTTTAGTAGCAAAATGTAACAGATTAGAAGAGAAAGTTTTGCGTATCTTAAGTATTAGTAGTCTAAAAAAACTGAGAAATGTAATATGCCATAATAGAATGAACTATTATAGAATGAACATCATATTTATTGGTTTAAATTTACAGAAAATATCCGTGAAAGCCTCTAGAGGGAAATTATATGCGCGTAAATTCGAGCTTCAATTTCATAGACAGAGAAATATATATTTAGCTTTCGCATATAGAAATGGAGGTGTAACATCAATAAGTACATAAAACAACGAAAACGATAACAGGAATGTCAGTCTTTTTCTTCAATAATTATTTGGCTTTGGTCTTTGCAGGCCCCGTTTTTTGTGTAATTTTTTTCATTTATTTTCATTTAAACAAAGTTTTTATTTTTCGAGTTGATAGGGTCATCCCTTAAAATGATGTATTTTTATCACTTGCAACTTTTGCATCGTTTTATTTAGTTGTACATTTTGTACATTTGCCACCACAGGCCATATTGTATAGGTTTTTTTTTTACATCTGCTTTAAGATTTTAATTTCTTTTGTAAAAATATTTTCTTGTTTTAATTTCGATTTTGTTCATTAAGTGCAATTTTAATTTAATTTCCAGGCACGTCGAAAAAAGGTATGACGCTATTGAGACTTAGCTAGAATAAGATAAATTAATTTAATAATTTTAATTATGAATTACCGCTTTCAGTCTCAACTATTTCGTTCGCCGAAACGTGCCTCTGGCATTACCTAAATTGGAGATTTCGGGCACTTTTCACTTAATAAGTCAGTCTGAAACCTCGAATTGAGCTAATTGACCTTTGTTTACATTTTTTTGTATATAATTTTTTTGTCTTTAAAATGTCTTTAATTTTTAAGCATACAAAATATGCTGTAGTTTTTCAGGTTTTTGAAAAAATTTTTCTAATTTCCAATTTTGTTTTTGTAGTTAATTTTATTTTGTAGTAATTCCAGTAGGTTGTTTCGCGTATAATTTAATTGCTTTAGTTTAGTTTAGTATTTAGTTAACTGTATGCTTCTTTGCAACTTATTTTAAAATTTGCAGCTCAATGAGCAATTTTTTTGACCAAACTAGTTCTCTCTATTTTTGGTTTGCTACTTTCTACTTATATATATATATACTCAAAAGTCATTAGTCAAAGCTTCCTTAAAAGATTTCAAAATCAAAGTTTAAAAACTAAGAGACGATCTGCGCAATTGCTGCAGGTTCGAAAAAAATGCAAATTTTTTAATAAAGAAGAGAAAGTATTTATCCATCGCAAGTAAACCAACTTACCTACGTATAACACTTAAAGGGACCACAGTTCTCCATCTTTGAGCTTCCATCATAGTTGCACAGACGTAAGGCAATTTTGCACGTTCCATCCACGTAATTTTTCCATCTTTCCCTAAGACAGTGTCTATTTCCTCTTGTACTTTCTTCTGAACTTCTGGATATGTGACCATGGCCAACAATAACCATGAAATAGCGGTTCTTGTGGTTTCACTACCTCCAATAACAATAGCCTGAGAATTGCCTAGTAGGCGATTTTCTGAGGGAAGAAATTTAAACGAATAAAAATGCAATATTTTATATATACTAAATTCTAAAGCGAAAAAAATTATCTTGATGAATTCAAGGCCACACTTTTGTTTTACGAAAATTAGACAATAATCTTTGTGGGAGTACATAGCAAAGGATCACGCATAAAATATTCAGCTGAATTATTAATTTCTTTCTGTATCTGTGTTCACAAAGGGCACGGCAAAACCATTTTTATAAGCACAATTGCGCAACAGAATACTGTTGCGACATGCTCAGCTGCGATGAGATAGCTTCCCGCAAAGCGGGGTTTCCCGCAAAAATGCCAAAAAGTGACAGGGAAAAGCAGGATTCCCAGATTTGGAGCGAAGTTATTTGGCGATATGCTATAAACCAGTGTTTCCCAACCTTTTTTGTGCTATGCCCGACCTAATCCTCTCTAAAATTTTTAAGCTCCCCCTAGCATATACATAATTTTTAATATTTAAAAATTGAAATGTTCACGAAAGAAACTTGAATGATAGCTTTTAGGAAGAAATGGCTACGAAAGTTTGTGAGCAAACACAGTAAGTGAACTTTAAAAACATGCAGAACTGAAATTCAAGAAAAAAACTCATTTCAGTGAAAGTTTTTCATTTTAAGTATTAGTAATTTTATTATTTAAATTTAGCGAGTGTTTTGCGCTTGATACTTGCTGCAAAGAAATTTTATGTCAGGTTCCAATTTAGATAACTTGAGTCTCAAGTCTCCCGCTTTCATTATATCCAACCGATTTCTTTTCTTTTCTTTTTTTTTTTTTTTTTTTTTTTTTTTTTTTTTTAGCAGCAAATCATTTATGGTACTAAATCCGCTTTCAGCAAAATATGAAGATGGAAACGGTAAAAATAGTTCTCTTGCAAATTTTCTTGCATTTGGATATCTGATTCTGGTTTCCTCACAAAGCTATGTCATCGCTCCTTTTATATTAAATAAAGTTTTAATTGACTCATCATTTTGAATTTCTGCGAGTTCTTTTTACTGCATATTTGAAATATCAGCCAAATCCACTAGCATTGGCTGCATCATCCAAGTTGGGAAATCAATATGTTTTAAGTTACAAAATCTTTTAAATCAGCCGATAAAATTTTCAGATGATCGACAATAACAAGTATAGTGGTAGTCACGTAAACTTTTTGGAGCCAATGAGACTTTTCAAAATTTTTGTGGTAAATAGTATATGCCTGGCATAATTCAAGAAAGATAATGGAACCAAATATCTTCCTTTTGCATCGACATAAATTTTATTTGCTCCTTGAAGTTTTTTATTTAATATATTTAATTTTTCAAAGATATCGGCTAAATAACCCACAATTGCCTTGTTATCATCCGTTAACGGATTTTTCATTTCAGATTTGTCGCTTATAAAATAACTAAGAGTATCAAATAGTTTTATAAATCTTTCCAAGCAGTTCCCTTTCGACAGATTTCTTACTTCAGTGTGAAGTGCAAGTCTCATATAGTCTTCATTTTGTTCTTCATAAAATAACTTGAAAAGATGTTCACATTTGGCCCTAGTTTTAATAGCACTATTATACACTTTACTTATACACTTTATAATACTACACTTTATAACTGAATTTAGTACTTCATTTAGAACAAGCGAATTGTTTTTAGCTAGCAGGTTTTCTCTATGAATAACACAATGCACAAGAAGCATTTCTGGATTCTCATCTTTTATCAATTTTAAGCAACCCTTTTTCTTATTCCGTGCTTTATTTTATTTTTCAACCATCCTATTAGAAGCACCATCTGCAATACAAGATGTATTATATTTTTTATATCTAAGTAATTTTTTAGCTTACTATAAATATCTTTGGAGGTAGTGGTGCTTTCTAATGATTTACAGAAGAAATATTTTTCGGCAAAATCCCCTTTATGAATATATCTTACATAAGTTACAAGTACGGCCTCACTGTCTCTTCAAAGTTGGTTCATTCATTTGCACAGACCGAAATTTTCTTATTTTCAGCTTTTCAACAAGTTGTATTTCAATGTCCTCATTTAATTATTCTTCTGCAAACAGTATTGTTATTTAGTGGCATAGCTTTAATGTCTTTGCCATCTTTTTTAGAACAGTTTTAAATGCTGATATTGATGGTTTCATTCAGTTCTCCCCTATAGTACGGCTTTTCCCAGATTAAACGATGAGTAATGAAATTTGGTAGCCTGAAGAGCACGATTAACAGTTGCCTTATGAGCAGTAAATAGAGACTTTTTTCAAAAATTTGCCTTAAAGTGTGAAAATAATTCAAATCTGAATTAATATCAGCATTATGTTTCGCTTTCAAATGTGCCTCAAGACGGCCTAGTTTCATTGATTCGTTGGTCAGGCATTATTGGCATAAAAGACAAAAGTTGACCTTTTATTGGACCAGGTATAAAACCAAATTTTAAATATGCCTCCAAATACCGACAAACGTTTTTTTTTTTTTTTTTCTTGCACCCCTCGTTTCACTAAGGGCTGAAAGAAATAAATATAAGATCAATATAAACAAAGCTTCCATTTAAGGAAAGACTGGTTGCCACTCCTACAGTAAAAAATAAAATAAATTCGTTGGCTGAAATGTGCGAGAAACGTCTGGAAAGCATAATGTGTCAGTTATTTAAATGTCCATGTCTACAGCGAGAATTCTTTATAAAATATTTAAAATGCACCGCTATTTAAAAACGTTTTTACATGTACATCACTTACATTTTTCTTTATTTTGGGGAATAAAAAAGGAAATTAAAAAAAAATTTAGCTTTATGAAACATATTTAGAACATCCTTTGTCCCCTTAAACTCTGGACGAGTCCATTTTCGAATTGCCCTCCTCAACAGTCACATTGCCCGCTTGTGGGGCGTGGGCCCCACGTTGGGAAACATGGCTATAAACAGAGCGAGAGCATTCTAGAACGCATTTTTAGCAGTTTTTCTCGGGAATATTGTCGAAGGTAGGTTAAATCTACACATAGCTGACTTGTTATTAGAGGCTTGAGCTCAGTGATTAATGTGTCTTGAGTTCAGAGATTAGCTTGAAAGCGATCGACCGAGTCGGGAGCTGTAACTTAGTACTTTACCGTGAAACTGTCTTCACCGTTATAGCCTGAAAGCTGTGTTGCTAATTGTCTCAGCGTGTTTATCGTAGTTTTTCGACGACTGTAAACGTGTCTTTGGAACTCTCCTGTGTAACAGTGTTTACTGGCGAATAAGCTGTGTTTTGAATCTTCATCAAGTGTTTTCATCAATATCTCCAAATCCATGAACTCACAGAACGCAGCAAGACTTTTCTCGAAACATATAATAGGGAATTTAATAAAAATGTATAACCCAGATAAAGTCTGGAAAAAGGTCGACAAACGCGTCTGATAATACATGGTAAGAATTTAGAAAAGAAATACAAACTGCACTCATAAAATAACTAGACAAATTAAAAGACCAAATAATAAAATACAAAAGAAAAGGAATAAATGTATGTTGAAAAAGTAAAAGCTGATAGATGTGTAACAACTTGGCAATTGACATAAGAAAAGAAAACTTTAGAATAATTTTAATGGAAAATTAAAAAATGAGGAGCGTTTGTGCTTGGCTGTGCCTCGGATTTTGATAGAACAGTAAAAATAAGACAGTCGCACTCTTTTTTTTATTACACAAGGCTTATTCGTCATGAACTTGTTTCTGAAAATCAATCAATTAATCAATAATTTTACAAGGATGTGCTTTTTCAATTAAGAAAGAGAGTAAATAGAATCAGGAAGGAATATTTTGATTCTGGGCAGTGGTTTCTTTTACACGATAATGCTAGACCCTATATAGCATTGTCTGCACAACAATATCTAACTAAGCATTCAATTGCGGTGATAAATCACCCACCACATTCTTCCAACTTATCGCTAGCTAATTTTTCCCTTTTTCCAAAAATTAAAATTGCCATGAAAGCACATAGATTTGAAAACTTTTGGATATTAAACACTACGCGTATTTTGCAAACGGTTAGTTCCAAAGCCTATATACAGTTTTTCGATGACTTGAAGAAACGTTGGAAAAATTTTATAGACTGTTTTTGAGATTATTTTGAAAGCGATAAATTTATTTGAAAAGAGTAATATTTTTCCTATTTATACGTTATTTTCCGGTTACTTTATGGGCGCACATTGTAGTAAATGAAGTGAGAGAAAACATTACTATATCTACTTAGACAGTTATATGTAAATGTCAGTATATGATTTGCTGTTGTGCCTCGTTATTATTAATGATGCAAGAGAATAGCAACTGCGTTTTCTGGATTAGAAGTTGGATTAGATTTCTGGATTAGATGCCTGCATTAGAAGAGCTTTGAAGTTCTGAAAATGAAACACCGTTATAAAAATCATTCTCTTCTATAGCATAAATTTCATGCACAGATTCAATAGAAAAAATCTTATTGCATACTTCAGTATTTCAGATTAAACTCTTATTATACTTATTCTAAAATGTTTCACGAAACTATGATAAGCATTCTATGTAAAGTATTATTTCAGGTTTACCATATATAATCAAAATCTAATTTATGCTCAATCATAGGTTGTATATGCGTCTTATTTGCATATAAGAGTTTTAAATAGCAATTTTAAGAAATTTTATATTATATCATAATATAGTTTTTAACCTAAATCTATTTAGAGCCGGAATAAAATATCACTTACTGTTTATAAATTTTAGCCAGAATCTAATATGTTATTTCTGTTAAAATTCAAGTCTTAAATACAAACCTGAAATATTTTAGATTGTATTTTAACATAATGTTTCATTAAAAAATGTTATGGGCTTATAGTGTTTCATTAACAATAAGACCACTTCACGTGTTATAAAAATAATACCAAGTATAATACCACTTCTGATTTTCCAATTGTAAAAACAGTGAAAACGTATTGCGGAGCTCCTAATTCGTGCTTATTCACTGAAACCTGTCTAACAAAATTTTTGATGGAAAACATTAATCTCATTTAACTATGCTTATAGGCTGGCGGGAGATAAGAAATTGGAATTTCATGAAGTAGTTTATTACCAGTAAACGAGCTTTGGATATTCTTCTGTTTATTTCTTTCGATTTCCTTCAAATAACCATCAAGAAACATTTCTTCGCTGCTTTCAGTCGTCAATACCTTCTTACGGGCTTCTACTTCACTTCTAAAATGTAAAACAATATTGTCATAAAACGCATAATACTTTTTATCAAGAAGATATTGATTAATAGATTAAGACAAAGCATGGTAAGGCTACCTTTCTAAAGGGAGGAATGGTTTCACAGAGAAAATTTTTCAAAAAATATTATATGTTGGTATTGCAAATGAAAAGAATTACGAATACACCAATGCAAACGACTTGTTTGCCGGGATTTTACATCAGATATATTGTACTCGCATCGTTTTTAAATTAAAACAACTTTATATTCTTTTAGTTATGACCCTAAAAATTCCTAAAATAGATCAACGAAATAAATTTTTATATTCTTGTGAATTCTTTTTAACAACAAAGGTATTTTTAGACATTATAGTGAACGTTAAGACAAAACAAAATAGTTAAAATAAAGTAAGCATTTGATAAAGGTATTTTCGATTATTGATGAATAGCTGACTCAAAACGATATTTAATTTTTACATTAATTGCAAAAAGGAAAAAAAAGTAGCGTACTCTAAACACAGATATTTTTTGCAATGCTCACACATATATTGAGTTTTTCTGTTTTCTCAATAGGCACGTCTGTCCCTTTTTCCTGTTTCATTTAGATGTTAAAACTATAAAACTATCCCTGACGATTTTTGTGCAGCAATATGAATGTTCCTTGGAATGTTTTTGACTTTGCTCTTTCTTTTATATGGTCTGCCAAGTTGAACACGAGTTTTTTAAAAACGATCTTCTGGTTTTGGCATCAGACTTATCAGGTGCATTTGATTTGAAAATTAATTATGATTTATAAGCTGCTACGTTTAGTAGGGCATAAAAAAACGACCATCGACTAACGTTTTGTTTAGAGTAATATTACAAAATGCCACTCTATCTTCGACACAGTTGACACCACCTTTCGTTTCATTATAAAAAGTTAAGACTTCAGGTTTCTTCTTGTCATCCATACTTTAAATTAGTAGTCAAACAACAAAAATCAGCGTTATATTTCAAATTTTCACAGGACTAATTTCGATGCTTTTACCGAACCATCATCCTCATCTGCAAAATGATAGTTCGGTAAAACCATCGATACTAGTCCTGTGAAAATTTGAAACTATAACTCTGATTTTTGTTGTTTGACTTCTAAATCAATACTTGTACGGCGTGTTATTGTATCTTAATCCATACTTTAGTCAATTTTTTTATCATGATGACAAGAGAAACACTGTTTTATCCCACTTCGGGACATATGAAACTAAAGTCATAATCATCTTAGAATCCAAAAACAATTCTCAAACCTAGTTAGTGATGAGGCCAAATCATCGGAATTAATGAGATTTAAAATCAGAAATCGAGTACCACACAGTTTTCTAAATTCTAAAATTAGAAGAAAAAAAAATAAATAAAAGTAAATTGGACGAGTTGGGTCTCACAGACAGAAGGCGATTAATACTATGAAATAACTGTCACCTGATAGAACCGGCTTTGTTGTCAATGCACGTGTTAAATGATGTATTAAATATAGGACGATAGATGGAACATCGGCAGTACAAATGCTGCCATATGTCTGAAATTATAAAAAAATGTATTTGTCTGAGTCTCATAGCCCCAATACTAGTGAGGGGTTAAGGTGAATCGAACTACCGGTACCCAATAGTCTTAATCTTTTGGCCAGTACAAAAAACTTATTTATATTAGCGGAACTCAGATCCCAAGAAACGCTCACTAAACGGCTACTCTAAAAAAAGGCAAAAGGAATACTCAGAGTTTTGTTAAGTATCTATACATTTATTCCATAAAAGAAATAAACAGCTCGGGCTATAATGTAACGTAAATTTCAAGCGTAAAATATTTCGTGCTTTCATAGCACAGGAGACTGGTTTTATTAAAAAGCTGTCAGGTTGGAGCCTTAAATTTCGCACGTATTTTCTTGAGCTCAAAATTTGACTAATATTAACGGGTCTTTATAGAAAGTTAGCTAAAAGTTTTGAGCGTTTAAGACGTATTCAGATTATATCGAAAAGTACAAGATATTGTAATATCAAGTTTTAAAATGTGATAGCCCTGTCATTTCTACCAAGTTATCTGAAACTAATAAAATATAAAACTCCATAAGCAGAGCAATGAAAAATATTTGGAGACCTTAGAAGTCGATTCCAGCACGTAAATGTTCTTCAGAAAGGAAAACACGAGGGTGTCGTCTTTAATCATTACGCAATATCTGAGGGCAAAAGCTACAGAAGGAAGTTTTCAATAGTTTTCGGCAACATTTTCCCAGAAACTTAGATATCAGGTTACATGTGGATAATGACTGCTATTCAGTGATCTCTTTGTGCTTTTTACTACAAACCTGGATTCCCGCAAGTGTTCAACTTTAGCGCACAAGAATTCAACATGTATTCTGCAAAGATATCTTTCCTGCTTTTCTCGTTTTTTTTTTTTTTTTTTTTTTTTTTTTTTTTTTTTTTTAAATCCAAGACAAAAAAACTAACATCCGGCATTGTCCAAAATATTCTTTGCAAAGAACCAATATAATATATTGGTGTGTTCAGAGCTTTCGCGATGCTAAATTATGAAAGCTCCGCGACTGAGTTCTCTTTCATTTTAACAGCATTTACACACACGAAGAACAATATATAAGGAAAGCATTAGCTGAATTTTTTATGCAGAGGTATCCTATTTTAGACCAGCTATTGATGCATTTTTCATCAATATACGAATAAAATCATTCTGTGAAATTAAAAAAAAAATGAATTAACTTACAATTAAAGTCAGGTAAACATTTGAGTTATTTGCTTAATCAAATTATGACTTATTTGCTTAAATGAACTATGAAAATTATGCTTCCTTTTTGGGTAGTTTGATTTTGTAAAATAAATAGGAAAGCATTAATGATGATTTCTAATTTTGCATAAAGATTCTCTAAGACATGAATAATATTTTAAGAATTCCGCTAGTTTGTCGAACTTCGTTTGTTTGATCATGGCAAAGCGTCCCCCTGAATGGTATAGGGGCTATTGCAGCTTGAATACTAAAACGAAGCTTAGATTTTAAGTTCGATTCTCGAGTAAGGGCCTGTCTGTATGTGTCATTTTCTCTGTTCTCGTTAGTGGGATATAGAGATCTACACCTTGTGGTGAAACGGTAGTCTTTTCTTTGATAAAACGAATAATGGATTGATGAATTTAGCCATTCCCAAGCAATAGTTTCCTAGCAGCTGTTTGGCTATTGGGAGAGAAATCGATTATGGCAGAGCAGCCAAGGGCTATTTGCGTAAAGGGAAGAACTGTTTCTTTGAAGAACTCATTAAAAGAAGCTTCTTATTCAAAGAAAAATTTACGAAAATTCCAATATAACAGCTCCTTCCTAGATCGAACTACTGTTGGTTACCAGTCTTATTCATTTGAGAGCCCCATCATGACGAAATGGTTAAGATCGCTGAATATCGGTAATTCGATCCGACTTTGAAAGCAGGAAGACGGGTTGACGTCATGATTGCGTTTTGTGGTTTTCCTCATCTCTGACATGAATACTTGTCCATCTTTCTAAGCAGATAGCCTCTGTCTGCTTTTCCCTTTTCAAATAAACTAATTTAACTTTATTCACTCAGTTACGGTTGAACCCGAACATCCATAACTAAATTAAGTTTCTAAGCAAAGGTTTATTACATTAGATCACATACTGTTAGATTCAGAGTTTCACAGATTTATCATATTTGTAAAACATGTCTAGTGCCCAAACCGCTAGTATATATTTCTGCTCAACGGAAGAATATTTGAATTATCATTAGCTTTTCTTGTGAAACTGGTAGCTTCTTAAATTAGACTTAGGTGCTTTAGTTATTTTACTAATCTACGTGGCTGTTTGCAAATAAAATTAAGTTTTAACTTCTTAATGTTGGCAACTCGTTTTCTATGATAATAGGTCACCTAGAACAAAAAATGGCTGAAACGGTAAAGTTGAGACCTCATTAATTCATATCGTATTCCTATCATTATAAATAGCCACTTATTTCCCTAACAACCAACCTTAGACTTTCTGTTTACTCTATGTCGATTCCTAGGGAGCGGTTGCAGTACTACTTAGGTTTATGTTACATCCTCACACGTGCCAGTCATTGAAGACTGAGGGTCAGATTAAAATCTCGTACGATTGTCATTGGTTATTTTTGCTGAATCAGATCTCTCAGAAAAGGAATATTCGACAAGTTAGTGCATTTGACAATGATTTGGGCTTGTGCTGCTGTTCTAGTGTGACAAGCAGGTGAAGGTAGTAGTGATGTTTGTTTCAGACGGTGGTGTTAAATATTCTGCCACAAGATGGTTTTCTAGTTCCAGTCCAAGAGAAGCAGTGAGTCATAACATAAAGATCCGTGTAGAAGACTATAAGCAAACGTATGTAGGACAAAAGTGGATTACATAGCTTCATAAGAATAACGTCTCTTTCTCTAGCTGCACAAATTCACAAGCAGCTACATTAGCAAATATCTACGCAGAGCTCTGTATTAACTAGATTAGGAGTTTGAGCATTAAAGAAAATGAGCAGTAGAGATCAGCAGTGAGGCGTACATCAACCAGCAGTATACCAGGTATGCAATTTACTTACTATAAGCAGTGCATGAAGACTTGAAAATGCGTAAACTTGAGGTAAGACAGACCTGCAGAAATATCCGATTAATAGGCCAGGAAGTGTTGCATCTGACTATGCATGTTTTGAGGATGAATGAGAACCTGCGTAGTCGACTATTCGTCAGCAACGAGGAATTGCAAAAAACTGTCAACGAATAAGGCAGTAGAAATGGTTTCTTGCAACCAAACGGAAGACTTCATATGTAGTAGGAATATGCTACATTCAACTTGATGAGAATAACGTGTACTGATCATGCATATGTTGTGACAATAAAATATGTTTTTTCATTTTACTCGTCGTAGTCCAAACATTATTAAATGAACCAATATTTTAATAACAATTAATGCAATTTACTAAAATAATTCAAACAAAGATGCGATTTTGCTTTATAACTATTGCAGATAATTATTACTTTTCTTTTTTATACTTTTCGCATGTTTTAGATCAAAATTAATCTTTAAGCATTTCTATAATGTGCAAATGGTTCTTAAAGTGAACAGTTCGACTACCAAGTACTTTATAAACAGTCAGTAATAAATGATTTTCGTTAAAACAAACAAAGGCATACTTTTGATTACACTATTAAATATTGCAATTTCAGTCCAAGTCCAAATAATATAAACAAATCGTTTCTGAAAATGTGATAGGCAGAAATTGAAATTTGAAGTACATAAAAAACAAGACTTTGATATTAAAGACTTTCATCCAACTTACTTTAAGTAATTGTTAAAACGAACCATAATTTTTCTCTCTTTGCCAAGTCGTGTGAAGCTAATCTTAGCAATTAAGGATAACAGTTTAGGAAAATAAGTGATGAAGCCAGACTGTGAAAACGCACGAGTAACGGCTTCCACATCATTATCTACTATGTTTCTGATTGGATCGCCAGCTGGAAGACGTTTACCAAAGACCAAAGATGTCATATTATTAGAGACACTTGCAGAAAGGAACCTGTAAATATTTACGGGTTTTCCTCCGTGGGTCTTGAGCCAATCTCTGAATTCTTCCACTTCCACCTACAATTAAAAATTGTTATGGTATTCAATTTCTACAAAACTGATAGAAGGTTTCAGTGCCATTTCTGGCTGTTCAAATCTGTGTAAAAGTCGCAGAAATCGGAAAAACATTACAAACGTCATAATTACCCAGCACTTGGATTTTAAAAATCATCACTGCCAATTTAATAATATATTTTAGCATAAAGATGGAAATTTTTGAGTAACTTAACTTGCGGTTAAGATACTATTAGCCCTTTTCACTCCTTAATATTTTTTCTTTACTAGCCAACAACTCCTTAATTCATTTACCAAACAGATAAAAAAAGGGTCTCAATAAAAGGTTGTATTGCAACAACGCAGAGAGTATAGCAAATATTGTTTCGATTATATTAAGTAGTAGGAGAGTAAATAAATATAAATTTATATATTTAACCAATTATTTACCCTAATTATTTATAATTTTTCAAAGTATGATATTTTTAAAACATTCTACTAGATAAAGACCGGGTTTCCTATCACAAGTATCACAATAGAATGTTGTTTCTTTTCTCCCTCCTTTAACCTTCCAACCGGAACAACATAAAAAACACAAGGTCTGTATGGTATGTTCCAACCGGTACCATACAGACCTTGTGTTTTTTATGAGAAAAAAATGAGTCTTCCCATCTAAACATTGGATAGTATCATATGTGGATATTCGGCCGGTTTTTTTTTTTTTTTTTTTGTGTGTGTGTGTGTGTGTAGGAGCACGAAAGTCTTTGATTAGGCTTATCAATAATTTTCTCTAAATTTTGTGTGACAGCTTTTTGATATATTTTCCTTCGTAGCATATAATAAGAACAAATATTCAATAAGAATAAATTTTTTAAGTTCACAATGGAAGTTTCCAATCCCCAGAAAAATAACATTCGCCACAATGCATCAAAGCATTCCTCATAAAACAATAGTATATAGCGTACTAGTCGGTGAAGTCTACTGCACCCATACTTTGATTATAATCTAAATAATAGTCGGTTTGTTTATTTTGTTTTCACTAGCATTTTCAGTCGGCTTTAATCTTGCAGGTTGTGAAATAGAAGATTGTTTTGTACTAAACATTGTGACCACGCTTTTTTCACGCCATGTTACTAACGTCTTTTCTTTTCTATAAGCGATTTTATGTCTAACATCTAACGTTGTTTATTTTATTTTGGCAATCCTTTTCGATTGGTCGTAATTGTTCCAGTAAGAACGCAATTGGATTTTAGAAGTTTTGCACCTAAAGTGGGGTTCGTATAAAATCTATCAGTAAAAAATATGATACGCTTTACCTTCAGGAATCGAATTTCGTAAATTTCGATAGAGTTGCATCACAGTTTTGCTAGTGAAATTAAGATCTGGTCTGATTAAGCCATCTGTTGCAATTTTACCATAATATGGAACAAATGTATATAAATAACTTGTTTTAGAATCTGCTTAAACATAAACTCAAGATCCCCATTTTGTTGGTTTCTTAGGGTTAGACATCAGAAAGTTTATTTTCTCCTTGAACGAGATTGTAGATTCGTCAATTGCCAAATTTTAACGAGGTATGTAATTTTCCATAACTTTTTGGTTTAGGTAATCCAGAAAGTTGCTCACTCTTTCTATCCTTGTTCCCATCTGTTGATTGTTTGGTGAAATTGTTTCCAAATGTAGTGACCAAAGTATTTGAAAAAAAAATGTTTGTGGGAAAAAATGTTTCTAAAAATTGACATCTTCAAATGAAATTCTTGAGACCAGTATGATTCCAAAGTTGGTGAAACAGCACGGCCCATATTTATGATGACACTAGTATAAAGGCTTTCATTTTACTCTCAGTTACATTTTTCCGATTTGGCCAAATGGAGTATTTGCTCGGTGTTTTTTTTTCTGATATTATATTTGCTACGTGTGTGTAAAGATCATGACTTATAAAGATCGTGGCTTGTAAAGATCGTGACTTGTAAAGATCATGACTTGTAAAGATCGTGACTTGTAAAGATCATGACTTGTAAAGATCGTGACTTAAAGAGAACGTAAAATATAAATAATAGGATAAGAACTTGCATTTTACGGTGTGGCAACAAGAAGAGGATTCGGAAGATTTTTATAAATTTTGTTTAGAGAGTTTAAGATTTTAGTATTTTAATAGTTGTAAGAGTTTTAACTGTAGTATTTAAGAGTTTAAAATTTTGATAGTTAAGAGCTGCAGCATTTATTTATTTTTATTTTTATTTTTATTATTTATTTATTTTTTTTTTTTTTGGTTCTGTTTTAAAATTCAAATAAAAGTATTTTGCTCATTCTGAAAATTTAGCTTTGTTCTTCCTACAAGGTTCAATATCTATTATATTGAAATAAGGAAAGGATTTTTACTGGCGCAGTCGACAGGATCGGGGTTTCCCCGCATATAATTACGAACCAAAATAACTCAGGTGAGAGCTCAATATACCTTGTAAACGTAAAATAATTAATTAAGATTATGAAAAAGTTAATTATTGTTTCCGTCATGGAATCTTAGTTTATTTACTTGTCAAAGTAATGAATACGCCAGTGTTCAAACGTAATTTCGTTTAACTCGCCAGAGTAGGTGAACAACACATTAAGTATTGATTCCACTGATTGATTTTCGTGCCGAATAAAATTAAATTCATTGTGAATTATATTTAAATAGGAAAAGAAAGAAACAAAATTGCTTTTTTATAAAACTAAGAGTCTATTGACTGAATAAAATCAAAAATCAGTAATTGGCGTCAGCCAGCTGCTACAGTGTTACACATAGAAACGATTTTTTTTTTTTTTTTTTTTTTTTTTTTGTTTCCCCAACGAAAGAGAAAACCGCAGTCAGGGAGTTCGCACTAATGTTAAGGATAAATTGAAGGACTCATTAACAAGAAATTAGATTTTTTTTTATTAAATTTTCAAAGAATAAGGTTTATTTAAAATCGAGACATGGCTTTTATGGGACGTGGGAAAAAAGAGGATTTGCTGGTTTTAGCTGCTGAATTAGAAATTCAAGTAGATCCAAGTATGAAAATCGTGGCGATAAAAAAATGAAATAATTCAAAGTGATACATATGATGAAGCATTTGCTAAAGAAGTGTTTTTAACGATTATTGAAGAGAGGAAAAGAAAAGAAGAGGAACAGCGAAGAAAGGAGAAAGAAGATATTGAGGAACAGCGAAGGAAAAAAGAGATTGAGGAACAACGAAGGAAAGAAGAATTAGAAGCACAGCAGAAAGAGAGCAAATGGAGTTTGAATTGAGGAAACTCGAAATTGAATCTCGTGTTCGACTAACACAAACTCCACCAACAAATGAAAATGGACATCATAATTTTGATTTAATTAAGTTTATTCCCAAATTCAATTTAAGACACGATGATATTGTGATTTATTTATCCTTATTTGAATGACAAGGTAAAAGGACAAAGATTGATCGTAAAGATTGGGTTTCATGTTTATTGACTTTAATGCCATCTGAAATCATTCAATTAATTGGTAGGGAATCTGAAGAAAATTTTGAAGATTATGAGTACATTAAGGCCATTTTATTGAAGAGATTTAAATTAAATCCTGGAAGCTTCAGAAAAAAATTGTAATGCACCAAAAGAGCGCTAAAAAATAATGGAGAGATTTTCGCTACGAAATTACGAGTTATTTTGAAGAATGGATCAATGGTCTTGAAATCACAAATTTTCCCTCGTTAAAAGACTTGATTATTACTGACCAAATTAAAAAAAGAGTACCCTATGAAGTAAGAGACCATCTTCTTGACAACTGGGCGAAGATCGTTTTTCCAACCAAATTAGCTGATAAACTTGACGAATATGACAGTGTTCGTAATATCTCAGAACGGACTGGTGGTAATCCATCATCAACAGACAGAACTAATGAAAAATGGCAACCTCATTCTCCACTTCCAGAAAGAGCTTTCAGAAATAAATCGCTGTCCGCTGAGAACACGCCAAGTGTGTACCCATACCGTAAGAGTGACGAACCACAAAAGCGTAGTTTCAAACTAACTTGCTATAATTGTGGAAAAGAAGGTCATACATCTAAGTTATGTACCAAAATTCGGATACCAAGAAGTGCTCCTGTAACAGCACAAAACAACTTAATACAAACACAAGCACCCCTTGCAAAAAAAGAAAAACCAGAAGTGCTAACTGCCAAGATCTCTATTCCTGTATCAAAATCAGTGGACGTGTCTAGAAACATAGATGAATTAAAACTTGTCAAAGTTAAATGTGGAGATATTATTCTAAATGTAATCGTAGACACGGGAGCACAAATTTCAGTAGTCCGTGAGAAATTGGTTGACAACATACCTTGCGAAGGAGAAAGTTAAATAGAGATATCTTCTGCTTTTGGTGAAAACGAAATTACTCCACTAAAGATTTTCCAGATCAAAATTGACGATGATTTTCACGGTAGAGTATCCATTACGTGTGCTGTTTCAAAAAAGCTAGTTACCGACTTGATATTGAGTTCTTCAGCTTATGAAACGCTCTGTGGAAATATTGAACTGTAGAGCAGTGATCGTCATCGAGATGCATCCCCCTTAGAGTACAAAGAGACAGATGATGAACCCTCAACAGTTGAAGACAATACTACAAATTTGGCTGTTGTTAATCAGATTTCCAAAGAAAACATAGAGTCTCTGAAAACAACGAACAGAGTAAGACTAGAATTCAAGACACATCAAGAACAAGACGAAACTCTGAAAAATTGCTTTGAATGGGCAAATAAAAATAAAAATTCATATACTTTCGATGATGGCATATTACTTCATTTCGAATATATGTGTGGTGAAAACATTAAGCAAGTTGTGTTACCTTTAGAAAAAAGAAGGGAAGTCCTAAGAATGGCACATGAAATCCCTCTTACCGGCAACCTCGGTGAGAAAAAGACAATTCAACGAATCAAGTACTCATTCCTTTGGCCTACTATTAAGCAAGATTTTAAAAAATTCTGTGAAAGTTGTAAAGAATGCCAATTCAGGAGAACAGTTACGTACAAAGATCGAATCCCAATCAACCTATTGTTAGACCGGAAACACCCTTTGAAGTATGGAGCGTGGATTGTATCGGGCCATTAGAACCCCCATCCAGGAGAGGTCATCGTTTGAGATATGTCCAGTTGACCTATGCACCAGATGGACAGAAGCCAACCCCGTCAAAGACATAAGTGCGAAAACAACATGCAACGTTTTGATAAGGCTTTTTATTCAAACTGGATTTCCAAAAGTGACTTGTTCCGACCGGGGAACTAATTTCACAGCCAAACTCACCCGAGCCTTTGAGAACTTACTTGCTGTGTGTCCACGATTCTCCACTCCAGGACTACCCGAGAATATGGGTGCTGTCGAGCGTTGGAATAGAACCTTAAAAGAGATGATGAACAAAAATATCCAAGAACATGGCAGAAACTGGGATTTGAATCTTCCCTATCTCCTGTTTGCCTACAGAGAAGTGCCACATAGCACCACTGGTTTGTCTCCCTTCCAGATGGTATATGGAAGAATACCACCAGGACCATTATCTTTGCTGAAAAAGATATGGACAGGTGAACGTAGCATTCCAGTTACAGCTTCCCGTTCAATTGAAAATTATCTACAAAACCTTTTAGAAAAATTAAGAAAAGCTCATGACATTGCATCAGCAAATTCCAAAATATCTCAAGAAGAGTGCACTTCAAGATACAATTTAAGTTCTCAAGAAAAGACTTTCAATGTTGGGGACAAAGTCCTCGTGTTAATGCTAACATCATCACATAAATTGCTCAACACGTGGCAAGGACCAGCTACCGTGATCAAACTTACCAGGCCACAACCTGCCAAAATCAAAATGGAAAACGGAAGTATTAGAGAACTCCATATAAATAAGTTAAGGCCTTGTATTGCTCGTTCGCGTTGGTATCATTTTTGACCAAGATGAAGAAAAGAGTACCCTATGAAGTAAGAGACCATCTTCTTGACGACTGGGCGAAGTTCGTTTCTCCAACCAAATTAGCTGATAATCTTGACGAATATGACAGTGTTCGTAATATCTCAAAACAGACTGGATATCTACTATGCCCCAGCAGATCTTATGAATAAATCTGCTGATGATATCTGGACCCATTTACAAAATTTGAAAGACGACTTAAAATATTACCAACGGGAAGGACTATTTAAAGTATTAAAATCTTATGTAGATATTTTCAGTAGCAAACCTGGTCAAGCCAATGTTGATGGTCAAGGTTATAGAAGAATGTAATCCAAAAAGATTGAGACCCTACCGTGTTCCTGTTTCACTTCAAGAGGAAGTCGATCGTCAAGTTAAAGAACTGTTAGAATGGGATCTTATAGAACCCAGTGACAGTGACTGGGCACATCCTATAGTATGTGTTGCAAAAAAGAATGGCGGCATTAGACTGTGCATAGACTTCAGGCTTTTAAATAGCTTCACAGTTCCGCTTTTTTAAAATTTATATCATCTTCCAATAATTCAAGTTCATTATCTTTTTGAGTTATACATTCATCATCACTACTTTCATATTCATTGGTGAATGATTGTTTTCTCTTGATTAGAGGCATCTATATTTTTTTATACTTATTAGCACATAAAATAAATAAATAAATATAACCTTTCAATTATTATTATTTTAATTAAAACATGTTTTTATGTAAACAAAATATCAAAGACAACAAAAAATATGATTTTTCTCTAAAACGTATCGTCTGTCTACGAGAAGAAGAGACCCACCACAGTGTCTGGCGGGTGCCGGTCGCTAGAGCAACAGGGCTAGTATATTTCAAATAGGGACGAACCAAGGATTGTTTTGTTTTTGGTGACTTTTGGCTGAGGGGAAAAGAGTTTATTATTCGTCTCCACCCCATACGGAAAATGGGTCAAGACTCGTTTCTACGGCAACAGACAACTGCAGACTAACTGGCAAAAGCATTTCTTATGATAGACAGACTGCAGGGAACTTGCTTTCCTAAAGACAGCACTACTCACGCAGATGTTCCTTATCTCGCCCTCCAAGGAAATATTTCCCAGGCAAAGGGACTCTTGCACGGGGCTTGAAATGCGGTTTGGCGATTGCAACTGTATCTGCTTCTTACCTGAGGAAATATTCTCGCTACGATTCAGCGTATGTCAAGCGACGAGAGAGTCGACGTTAGGACATCGTGAAGGGAAGTTCTTTCAAGAAAGGGTAGACGAATACCTCAGTGAGTGTGCACGGGAGTTCGAAATTATCCTCTGCACGTTCAACGAGCCGACTTTTCCAAGCTAAAAGACCGTATGCCCACAGGGAATACTGGAGGTGGCATTGTTTTGCTTGGAGTATTTTATCCTGCTAGGAGATTTAGCACGGACGAATCTTTCCGAATGTGCCGTCCTCTTAGCACAGTACATTTGTATCAAAACAATTTGTATCATTTGTATTTAGAAGTACTATTGCATTAAGTGTTATCCACGTACCAATTTGATGTAATCTTAACTTTTTACATTTATATTTTTATTAAAATTCTCGCTATTGTTTTATAACTTGAGTTTGGAGTCATTTCAACCCTTAAATACAACAGAGGCTTTGGGTAGCGTGTTCCACCGCTACACCACACTACAAATGACTCTTTTGATCCTAACGTAAAAATAATACTAAAAAGAATTTAAAATAATATAAATTGGTCAAATGTAATAAATTTAGTCTTTATTCACATACTACAAAAAATTTGGAAAAAAAAAAAAAAAAAGAGTTTTAAACATTTTCAATTATTTTAGGAATTACCATGTACAATGTCGAGTCAAGCTCGACAAAGAGTTGGTGTAATAAATATGATGTCGAGACACACTCGACATATATTAAAAATTATACTAAAAAGAATTTATAATTATCTAACTTGGTCAAGCATAAAAAATTTAGTCTTAATTTACATATTACAAAATATTTAAAAGGAAAAAATATAATAGATTTAAACATTTAAAATTATTTTAGAAATTACAATGCATAATGTCGAGTCTAGCTCGACAAAGGAGTTGGTGTAAGAATGTCGAGCAACACTCGACATAAGGAGTCCTAAGGGTTAAATATGCAAGATTACTTATAACGTTTTGCGTGTTTAATCAAAACTTCACTATGCAGTGTTTAATTAAAACTTCCGTCTTTAATGTTTGATCACATTTAAAATATTTGATCAAGCCTTCATTTTTTATGAGAGGAAACACAAATTTCGCAATAATGGATATATAATAATAATTAGAAGGAAGTTGTTCTGCATGTAAAACTAACTGAAAGCAACTTTAAAACTAAGATATTTTTAAGAGTGGGTAAAGTATTTTGTCATCGTATAAAATCTGATTTAGTTTTAAAGTGAAATTATAAATCAATATTGCATTTTAAAGATTATTAAATAGTTTTGATGTTTTCAGTTAATCCACTTCCTATAAATCTTTCAATTAAATTGTTCTAAGGTTTTAGAGTTTGTTCAGTTTTCTTTTTTAATTATTTAATGTTTTACAGTTCATCCCTTGTATTTCTCTACCGTTAATTAATTTACTACATTTCTTTGAGTTTTTTCTGACTGTAGAATTCATATTTCTCCGTTTATAGCTCTGCATATGTATTTTTAAATTAGAAATTCGAGAATAGTTTTCTAAAGAACGATTTTCATACAAAAAATATTGATAGAATGGCGACAACATCCTGGAGCCCTACATAACTAATTTTTTTATATTTAAATACAATTTAATTGTAAAAGGTAACACTTAACAGTAATTCCGCTTGAGAATTATCAAGGTCCCAGCTCTACCGATAATTTTAGATTTGTTGATCCATTGCTTTTCGTAAAAGTAGCTGTTATTCATCTAAATGTTAATTATTTAAACTGGAATAGTTATATATTCAACCTATAAATATAATTAACTTAAATGAGGTCACTAACAATAAAAGTATTCGTTTTAAAATAATATAATAAGTATTATTTTAAAATAATATAATTTGTTGCCAGCTGTTTCCCGAGAAATTCTTGAAAGAAAATATTTTGTAATGACAACAAATCGCGCCCTTTTAGAATTAAAATGTTAGTTCAAAGGACTAAGGTTTTAACACTTTACTAACGCTCGAAGTTTCGGATGAAGAACCGTTCTGAAGTTCTATTCCCCGTCTTTTGAGTCTTCCGTCCGTCCCCGTCTTCCGTTCGGAAGTTCGATTCGTTTCGGACTAACGTTTTAACATTTACGCACCTAATTTTCGGCTGAAATTAGCTTAGAACTCTGTGCGGAATAGATATTTTCCCGATGATACGGAACCCATCCTATACCTGCAGACAACGGTTTTTACCATTAATTTTTGTTATTTCTTCTTCGGCTTGAAAATGAATATAAGAGATTTTGACATTTTTTTCTTACATTTGAATGAGACATGTATAGGCCATATAAACACTGGAAGCGTGAGTTTCAAATTTTATTAACTTTTTAATTTTTCTCGGGTCTGTTGTAAAAAAAACACTGATTTACAGTTGAGTTCTAGAGTGTGATAGCAATCCATTCACAAACACGCTCAAAATTATGATAAAATTATTTGTAAATTAAGCCTAATTGAGCTTTCTGAGGCAGCTTATGACTATATATATTGAAATATTTATTCAATGAACAGTTCATAAATTGTTTTCGAAGCAAGAAGGCAAAGAAATTGCTTATAAAAAGTTAAACTGGCTTTTGAAAGAGGTAAATGACTACGAGTCTTTTACATAGCATTTCTGAAGATTTCAATGACAGCAGTTTTAAAATTCGCAATGAAAAATAAGGTTCCCTTACCTGCATTTTGCTTTAAATTAGAAAATTGTTTACCATTAACAAATTTTCCCACTGGCTCCTTCCAAATCCGACATCCCTCATAGCCTTCATAGTGAATCTTCTTTGGTCTACCCATTCTTCTCCGTTAGTTCCAGCAAAACCTTAATAAGTGAAACATGTATGAGCTTTTTGTACCATACGCTCTGTTGCTTAATGCAATTCATTGCACTATCTTGATTTATAAAAACTACAACTTATTATTTATTTTTTCAAATGAAATGCAAATTGTCAAGTTATTTAACTAGTATGATATTTAAATAAGGGACATACTTTAATGTCAATACAGTAGACATGGCCTACATACTCAAAATGAAGAGACCTCTATTTCCTTTTATTTTTTTAGTTTATTTATCAGAATTGATTTTGATTACAAAATGCTTTTGAGTAAAGTAAATTAAGCTTGTCCAAATATTTAACCATTAAATTTATCTTGTAAAATAAAGCACAGATTAGATGTGCTTTTGCAGCTGTTTGACAAGTAGTAAGTGTCTAAAACAGTATGAGACTTACCACGCAAGGAAATTTTAATAAAATGAGACAAATTGAATGGAAAGAAACGACTTCTTGTTTTGAGATTTGAAATTTTGAAGTGATTAAGGAATGTGAAGAAGAGCATAAATGCAGTGACACTTAGTGTCACTGTACTTAATGTCAAATAACGTTAATAAACTCATGATTAATAAAATATGTTTGTATGATTCTAGAAAATTAAATGATGCGCTTCATGCTTTTCCTACATAATTTCATATTATATTTCGCAGTTCAGCTTTGGCTTTTAAATAGTTTGAAATAAATATTTTAAAATAAAGACTTTAATAATGAATAACGAAGAACAGATTTTATTTTGAGATTAGAAACCATATTTAACCAGAATGTTAGCTTAAATTTTATTAATTATTTGAACACACTTTAAGCATTTGAACACAGTACGTAGTTAATCTATCCAAAAAACTTTTTATATGCATTTAATTAAATATTTTTTTAAATTTCATTATTTCCAATTTATGTATAAATCACTCAAAACTTAGAGTATTTATGCAAATGATCAGCGATTCTCAACCGAAGGTAGGTGTACCACTGGTGGTAAGCAAGAGAAAATAAATGGTACGCAAAAAGAAACAAAATATGTTTATCTACTAAATTCAAAAATTAATTCCAGTTTTGTCCTGTTACGTTTTTTCTCTAACACTCGTAAATTTATGCCATAGGAGCTTTATTCAAGGTCAAAAGCTGCTCATAGATGTTAGCAAAATAATCTGTTTTTATTTTCACAAATATGTACTCAGCCATAGACATAACAAAATTTGTCATAAATAATGTTTTTGAAAGGATTAGAAATGGATGTTGCATTTAATAAAAAATAAATTCCTGTAAAAGATAAAACTATCTCATTATTTTTTTAGAATTGATCGATTTATTAGCATGTCTACATTTTATGTCACCGCCATTTTATTACTCTGTTCTTGATCAGAACCATTTTTATTACATCGGTTTGCTGTCTCTAACAGCTGGTATTTATTTTGTCTTCTTGTTGCTTTTTATTCCTTACTTTTCTACCTGATTTTCAGAATATCATCGTTTGTTTTTGAAGAACTCGCAATATATCGTGCATTTAAATTTTGGTGAAAAAATAATAAAACAAAACCTAGATTTTCAAAATGGAAAAATGGCCAGTATTGACTAAGCGGAAAATTGAGGATTCACAGGATCCAAGAAATCTACTAGCACTTAAAATATTAAAAAGAAAAATTGTTTATAGAAAATATAATGGAAGTTATTTATCATTTGGGTTTACTCGAAATGGAGGTGAAATAGACCCGCAACCTCAATGTGTTGTTTGCAGTGAACTATCATCCAATCAAAGTATGCAACCGCCGTTTCTTAAAAGACATCTTGAATATCAGCAATTTAAAGGATATTATTACCAATTTAAAGGATAAATCTGAAGAAAATTTTAAGAGGAAATTACTGGAGTTCAAAAATCGTACACAAGGGTTTTGTTAGTAGAAGTGAAAAAAGTTTAGAGGCTAGTTAGCTAGCAAGCTGAGAATTGCCAAGACTGAACACCACACTATTGGAGAAAGACTTACATGACCAGCAGACGCGGCTAATAAACTTAATATTCCGTTATCAAATGATACACAAGTCGACGAATTCGTGAAATGGCAAATTTAATAAAAGAGACATATATTAAAAAAAATAAAACACAGTTAGTATTTCGCATTGCAGTTGGTTGAAAGTACTGATGTAACGAACTCTGTTCAATTAGCAGTTTACATAGGTTTCAAAGAAGATAAATGAATTGTCGAAGAGTATTTATTTTGTGAACAAATTAGAGCTTTACAGGACAGCATTCCTGTGTTATTTCTCAAATAAAAAAATTGCACATGAAACTCAATTTACTCACTGCTCCATTCATCATGAATCTTTAGTATCCAAAACAATCCGCGGAAACCTGAAAATCGTTTTGAATCAAGCTGCAAAAATTTTTAATTTTATTAAAATCCGAGCTTTAAATTAAAAAAAAATTTACGATTTTATGCCAAGAGATGGGCAGCGAACATGAAACGCTTTTGTGCCATTTCGAAGTAAGGTGATTATCCAGAGCCAAAGTTTCAAGTTTTCTTTTTGAACCTCCACCAGAAATTCAAATTTTCCTCTGCGATTCAAAATTTAAATTGCAAAGATGTTTATTTAGTGCATTATGGTTGGCGCCTTTAGCATATTTAGGTGATGGCTTTGGAAAGTAAAATGAATCAAATTTAGGATTAAAAGGACAAAGTGTTAATTTGTTTAACATTAGAGATAGAATAAATGCAACGATAAAAACCTCGAGATAATAATTAAAGAATTGGATAATAATATTTTAAGCTTTTTACCACATTCGGAAAGTTTTCTAACCAAAACTAGTTTAAAAATAAAATAAGAATTACATCCGACATCAAAAATCATTGTTTTTCATTGATAAATAATTTTAATGTGTATTTTCCCGAGGATTATGGAAAAGAAATTTGGATTAGAAGTCCAATTTGTTCAAATGTGCCTGAAATTTTATCTCGTGAAGAAAAAGAACAATTGGCTGAAATTTCCCATGATCGACTTCTAACCGAAGATTTCAGAAATAACTCTTGCTAACGTTTGGCTGAGCCGAAGAAAGAATTTAAAGGAATTTCAAATAAAGCTATTATCATTTGGGGGACGGGGCTTTTTGCACAACTTATTTGTGTGAACAAGGATTTTCTTCTATATTTGAAAAATAAATACAGAACAAAATTGAAAGTAGATCCTAATTCACGGTTGAAACTAACTAAAATAAGAAGAGACATAAAGAAATTAATCTCTTTTAAACAGGCCCAAATTTCACACTGAATTTTAGAATTAAAGTATTATAACTTAAATTTTGATAATTAGAATGGTAACCAATTTTTAATTTAATATTCTTATGCGTGCATATTTAATACAAATAGCCAATATGTTGTGTAAATGGCAATATATATGTAAAAATAACAAAATACAATGGCTGCTTTAAGAAATAATTGGCGACCTCAAAATTAACTATTCTAGATTTGGTGTTCTGTTCCTAAATTCCTCTGATCTTCCAAATTCGTGATCTTACCATGTTACATAGCAACCTAAAATTAACCAATCAAAGCTTCGAGTACTTTCTGCATCTGCTTGATATAAATACCTTTGCAAAACAACTACGTCATTCCTTTCCTAGCTTCCGCTACTGCTAACATCTACGCGCTGCTATTCTTTTCTAAAATGCTTAGGTCATACTTTTAAAATCAGTGTACACGTTATCGTATTTAAATATGATTAGATAAATTTCTTTTCTGGAAAACTGATCTGATGTGAATTATAATGGAATTTTTTTTTTAATTTTAATTTTAATTTTTTTTTTTTTTTTTTTTTTTTTTTAATGGGACGGTTCTATATCTCCCGTTCTACTGGACCAATTGACGAAATTCAAATTGCGTTTTTTATGTCTCGAAAGCGCGACTTAGAATATATATTAGATTTATATATGGCATTGTTCTAACATAGGTATTTTGACACAAAAATGGGACTTTTTGAAATAACATACCAAATTTTTCTATATTTCGATTCTACGACTCAAATTATGCCTAATTATTAAGTTTGTAAAGTTTAGTGCGAAATTTACGGAGAAATTAAAAAATTTTAACTTCGCGTATAATTTTCAGTTTGCGACAAGAATAATTCACTTGGCGAAATTCTTAATGTATGGCAACCTATTTTCCTTTCCCTTCCATTGTGGAGGAGAGGGAAAAGTCACAGCGTTTTTACTTTCAAATAATCTTAAATAATGCCTGAACCACATTTGATGTTATTATCGCTTTCAACAAATACACCAAATTTCAAAACGCGCCAATATAAAAATTCAAGTATATTTTCAGAAATTTTGAATAAAAAACTCTAATTTTTTGCAGGCATGCTTAGAAATACGTCTACTTTAAAATGATGGTAAAAATTTTATACATTATAATTGAAAATTTTTTCGAAAAATTTATAAAAATTCTTTAAAAATACAATTTTTTTAAATAAATCCTATAAAATATAGGCGAATTTTATTTGGAATGAACCTAAATTTCGAAATATCAAACGAAGAATCGAATACATTTAATAAAAAAGAGATATTTATGAATATGTATCGAATTCAATTAACATTGAAGAGCTAAACATGTGAGAGCTAATTTTTTAAAAACTACTCGTGCGAGTTTTACAAAACTTGGCAGTTTGGCATAATTTGAGTTCTAGAATCGAAATAAAGAAAAGCATTGGCATGTCACTTCAGAAAAAGTGCGATTTTGTGTCAAAATACCTATATTAGAACAATACGGTATATAAATCTAAAACATATCCTAAGTCTCACTTCCGAGACATGAAAAACGCAAGTTGAATTTCGTCAGTCGGACTAATAGAGCGGGAGATATAGAACTGTTCCTTTTTTTTCCCCGCAGTGTACATTGATATTCGAACATTAAAGTTCGATCGCTTAAATTTTACAACATACAGTGAATTAATAATCTATCCTGGTCAATAAAATGTTTAATTTTAATTTTGTGCTCCTGGAAGTTAACTTTTACAATTAATATTAAATGTTATATTTATAAGATCACTTACCTAAGCCATCAGGATGGAAGTCAAATATATGTGGTGGCCGACCTAAAAGTGCTTGCTGACTGAAAGCCTCTTTAATAAGTTTATAGTCATTAAGCACAACAACCAGAGATCTTCCGAGATACAAACTGAAAGTGAAGCCGAAAAATTGTAAAATTTGTTATGATATTATGGTTATTAATAATTTTATATAGTAAAATATTAGACATAAATACAGGGGATAGGAAAAAGTGGACGGAGCACCAGAACTTCGTCAGTGACAGGTGTTGCTCCGCTGCACTACTGTACCCCGCTGGGCTTTTAGTTGGCCCGCATCGGATGCTAGCCTACCAAGACATTTACATAGTAATTTTACATTAATACTAGACTTACGTATTGAATATACAATTACAAAGACACAGTATACAATTATGACAAAGAAATTGACCTATTAACAAAAGTTGGATTATGGCAGATTAATATACATAATTACTTCGAACATACATACAAACTTTCATTGTACATTGTACTTCTTACAAACAATATATTTACATTAGTATATCTAGTTACATCGAATTACAATAAACATCTTTTTAAGGAACTAATTGGGAAAGAATACAATAATTTCAATTATCTGGATTTCTGGAAAGTCAGTCACCCGAACCACTTGCTTGTAGTTAACTAACTGTGCTAGTAGTTTGATTGGCTAGCCGCTTAATAGTTATTCTAAGAAATTTCTTTCAATCGTTCTGTAACAATCATCGTATGTACTATTTATGTGTAAAAAACGTCCTTTCTCAGTTTTCTACCTATCCTGACGAAGCTTAACAAATCTTTCTCGAAGAACCACGTAAATGTTCACAGAACGAATTATTAGTGCGAGTACGGCAATTAAAGAAAATTACACGCATTCAATCAATCAGACTATGAAGTTAAACTTGTTTTATTAAGAAATGTCTGAGAAAATGAATCGTAAAACTGTTGTATATGTTGTATATGTCTGCATTGCTTTTAAACCGTTTAGTTTGTGAACTGGCAAGAGACAGACGAAATTTGAAGGTTTAATACCTTACATTTTGTTCAATAGCAAAACACCAGTGTTTGGAAAACAAAAACAATTTTTCAAGCACTGGCATTGCTTTTAATTAGCTGATTCAGTTTGAAACATATATCGCTTAAACTTTGGCAAATGACAACTCACTGGCCCGAGTCGGATAAAAATGCTTTATTTCGAGTAGTTGCAACCAGGGCTGTGGAGTCAGTAGGGAAAAATGACGGACTCCGACTCCTGAAATTTTAAAGACTCCGACTCACTCATATATATATATGTAAACATATACACATGGGTTACAGCTTATTTTTTTAATATAAAAGAAGTAATAAATGCTACAGAAAACAAAAATTGATGGCATAGTAAGTTATTTATATTAATTAGCATTTATTATGAAATGGGAAAACTGGAAGAGCTGTTAGGGCTACTTTTTTTAACTTTTCAGGACAGATTTTTTATAAGTTCTAAAAGAGAAGTTTTGCAAGCACAATCATAGTTCTCTATTTTTTCATAGGCCATGTAGAAATCTTGTTTGTATTTTTTTTTCCTTTTTATATCTAAATGCTCCTGGTTCTTTATTTTCATTCGCTTTGCCTTAGACTTTTCAATATTATCAAAAATATTTCTCAAAATCTAATTCATCTTTGGAAGAGGATGATAGAGATTCAATTGCAATGTCTGCAGTTTGACTGTCCTGATTCGAATTCTCCAAATGTAACTTCATTTTTAATGAGAATAACTTCATTTTTAATGAAAGTTCATAGATGGCTTTCTTTGCCTTTTTATCCTCATTCAAGAAAATTCGGTGTTTCGGATCTACATATATTGATTGAACCCAGCAAGATCTCCATTGTCTAGCAAAACTAGTTTCTCTTTTCTTCATTGAAGAACTGATTCCTTCGGCAATAAACCATCCATTTCAGAAAGAACAAACATCAGATTCTTCCATTCTAGCCTCTTGTTAATTCTTCAGATTGCAGCTTTTTTGTTGCTATATACAGTGTAGAAAGAAGAGTTTCCAATTCTGCAAGATCATTCCACAGTCTTTCTGTTAGTGAAACATTAGGGTTATCTACATCTTCTAAAAAAGTTCTTAATTTTAATAACCTCTTTATCATCAAATATGTACTTCCTTATCGCGTTGCTTAATAAGTAATTGCTCCTTTTCCTGCTCGCTTCCTAAGAATGGCATCAATTTTCGGAGTTCTTGCTGCTACTGCTGCTTACCTAAATTTACCAGTGAGATTTGTAACTAAATGAATCAATTTAATCACTAATGGCAAATATCACATCCATCTTCCTCCCTTATATTTATTTATTAATACGTCAATAAAATAGAAAATAACTATTTATTAATGTATATAGTCCATAAATAAAACTAATAACTCAGCTTGTCATTATTTTTTTTAATACATTTTAATCTCATTTCAAATTCAAACTGTCCAACAAAAATTGGAGTCGGAGTCGACCTGTTTACAGCGACTCCAGCCCCGATTCCTTTTACCCGAAAATTTGCCCGACTCCGATTCCGGCTCCATGACTCCGACTCCACAGCTCTGGTTACAACACATTGCTCTTAAATCTTTAAATCTGTTAATCAAAAGTTCATTAAAGTCGCATGAAATATGAAATAAATGAGAAACAAATTCAAAATTTTGGCTTGGACTTGTACATGTTCGAGTGGAGGACTAAATATGTTCAAACGTTGGTTCAAAGTTTGGTGGCCACTCTTTTTCCACAATTAGAGGAACAAGCATATATGCATAAATAACCACATACAGATTCTTCCTTATTTTTTAGTAACAGGAATTTATTTCTTAATTTTTTTGATTGATTTAAATATCATAAAAAATAATACAATGTTGAGTTTACTTTTTAAGAAGTATTAAATTAAAGTACTTTCGTGTTAACCGCATGCCAGTGATTATCGTCGAGTTAAGTGGCCTACGACTTCCATTTGCTTAAAAAAAGTTTCATGGTTCATTTTTCAATGCACAGGTTCATTAGATACTCGCATTTTATCATCTGTGTTTTTACAATAAAGTAAATTTTTACGTAACTTTGATCATCATGAGTCTATGAAATTTACCTCAATTTGAAACAGAGTTTGTCCGCTTTTCAAAAAGTGCAGCAAATACTCTCCCGCCAAAGAAAAATTATTTTAATTTCCCGCACCCAGTGGAGATCGACGAGGAAAGCATTTATTGGAAGTGCAACATTCGCACACATTGGAAAAGTGTTCGAATGCATGTAAAAAATAGGTTCAAAAGAAGCCGCGTAACATATACAACAGTTTTACGATTCATTTTTTTTTTTTTTTTTTCTGATGAGAATAACTAATATCAATCAAGGTCTACCAAAAGCTACTAGGAATGGTAAACAAAATGATGTTGTTTGGAATAACCACGGGGGAAATGTATCCTGGAAATAGTGGAAGTAAAAAATGAAAATAATTGGCTTTGTCGAATGTATTGTGGAGATCTACAAATGCATGCTCAAAAGACAGGGAAAATAATGCTGGAAGAATAGCCGCTTCTCAAGGGATTTTTGGAGATATTCATCGCGAAACAAAAGCAACAAATCTTGTCATGGTCTCCTATCACAGTGCTACCACAATAATAAACGAAATAATAAATATAAAAGAAAATCTGAAAGCTTTCAGATTTTATATTACGCCCGAAGAGGTGTTCTTTTTAACATTTTTTGCGTTACTTATTAAATATCATGTGATTCGCACTTAAAGCATAAAATTAAATTCAAAAGGAATATCCCAAAATTTAATTGAGCATATCTTTAGAATTTCCGATACACAATCTCGCGTGCTGGAGATAAAAATGTTTTTCCTTTTCTTTTTTTTTTTTTTTTTTTTTTTTTTTTTTTTTTTTTTCTGTAGAGCGTTGCCATTGCTCGCTTTTAAATCGTTGAGTTTGTTACTCAAAAATTCGTTAAAGTTTTACAAAATATGAAATCGATCATAAAACAAATTCAAAATTTGGTCTTCCACATGCCCATATTCGTAGGAGGATTACGTCATTCAAAATTCGATGGCTCTGTGTACCGTAGTTTTATCACAATGCGAGAAGTACACATACATTTATACAGATTTTTCAATATTTAATTTCTTTCAAATATAATGCAGGACTCTAACATTTGGTGGCAACAGTTTGAAAAGTGAAACGACATTTATAGTGAACCGACGAAATGCCAAAACGAAATTAATAGCCCTTCTGGGCAAATTGTCCCTTTGAGATAATAATAATAATAAAAAAAAACACTTAAAGATGAATCGAAAATTTTTTCCGTCTGTCGGAAGCGGTATAAGATGGAACAACTGTAGCAATCTAGTTATACTAACTGCCAAGTGAACCACAAATACAATTTCATTGGTCCTGAAATCGACACGCACTCAGAATATACAACGCACCTGGGGAATTATAAAATGGGAAGTTAAAAATCATCGAGGAACATCTTTCCTTCATGTCGAATTCAAAATTACGGAGTACGTGGGGGGGGGGGGGAACAAGCCTCAAATAATACTGATATATTTGATAACAAAACTTTATTGATATTCGCCAATAGCAATATGTTAACACGAGTGCCTAAATTTAATCTAAATAAAGCCGGCTACTTGAAGATAATATTATATTACTAATCTTAACTTACTTTTGATTGTATAACATTTTTTGCTTCTTTATTTTACATTAAGAAGCGAATAATTTCTTAATTAAATATTAGTTAATTTGAATTACAATACTCGTTTTTGTTTTGATACTTGTTTGATACTTTTGTTTTACGTAAATATTTAAAATGGTTTCTTTTTAAAATTTAAGTATAACGAAAAAAATCAAGATAATTTACAACTGAAATCATATATTCAGATGCAAATGCTTTCTATACACAAAACTTTATAAATTCCTGCTCCAGGGAAACAAGAGACTCTTGCCAATCGTTTCAAATTTTTAATTTATTTTCTACATTATAAAAATGCATTAGTCAAAGATCACCATCGTTAGCGTACTTCTTGTTTACCATTAATCAGAAAACTTCTTATTTGGACACAAGAACATCGCAAGATAACCACTGTTACTTAGAATAACAAATACGACACAGAAAATAATACCAAAATAAACCTGAATAAAAGCAGTTTACCTGAATATGTTTCCATATTTTTCACTTAATTTCTTAAACGTAAGGAAAGATTCTCTTTCAAGGAATGGTAAATACCCAAGAAGAGGGACACCGATAGGGCCAGGTGGAAGTCTGTACCTACGTCTGCCATACCACAAATGTAGTGTGATAACAGACAACAGAATTCCTATAAGGATAGGAGTGACGTCGAAATCCTTTAGGTATTCCATTATACTGAACAAGAAAAGAACTTGGGCAGAGGAAGAATTTGTATATATACTACAGTAAGGCTATCGCTGATATGATAAGAGAACAATGTATAGTAACTACGTTTAAAAGGGAGTCTGATAAGTAAGCAGACACTACAAATGCTGACAAAAAGTTTTATCAGATTTATTTCTTGTTTAACGCCTAGTTTTTATCATATGAGTTACGATTCCTATTTTCCTCCAAATTATACTTCAAAAATAAAGTTATTGAATTTCAATATTTTACTCTTCTCTTGGTAAATTCTTTTAAAATTTAGTTTTCTGTTTTCTTTCACATGATAATAAAATAAAGATTATTAATTGTTCATGATGTTTTTCTTCTTCTTTTCTTATAGCAGATTAAAATTAACGAACATTCTTCCAGTTCGCTAAAAACCATTTTTTTTTTAAATTTCCTTGTATGAAGTAAAGTAAATATTGTTATCGCGAAAAATTTCGGGTACCATATTTTCAACGAAAATTTCCATTTTGACAGCTCATGAATCAATTCTAACGATGTTTTTGCGTGATAGCTGTACATATGGACAGAATAAAGGACATTTTTTTCAAAACTGATAGATTTAAAATGTGACCCGGGTCGGTGAGCTCAATTATTTTTTCTTATATGTTAGTAAATTGTGAATTTTTTGTTTTAAAAATGATTGAATTTTGTTGTACTTATATTCCCGTTAAGTTTTTTATGCCTGTAGTTAACCTGCATGCAACAGTTGTAGAATTACCAAGAATTTAAAAGTTTAAGGGGTGGATAAGCCTAACGAGGTCGCCATTTGTTTATATTTGAAATTCTTAACAGAATAGTGAATTAAGGGGACTCATACACCTTAAAACCCATAAGATCTTCGAATGAGTGACTGTTGCAAGAATTGGGATAACTTATTTATTTTAAAAGAAATTACTTCCAACCTTTTACAGCTGACTACATAATATAGCTGCTTTCTGAAATAGTCAATCAGAAAAGTTTGTGTTGCCACAAATATGTTTTATAATTTAATCCGCTTTGTGAACAAAATTTTTCGTCATGTTTCCACCTTGCGCGCAGTTTTAAAATATTCTGTTGCATAATTTAATTCCATATTTAATATATAGCTTTTATAACATTTGGAAACTACTGTGAACCGAAAAACTCTAAAAATTTTCATGTTAAAAATTTATTTTATTTGGAGTTGAGTTTATAAAAATGTATTTTATTAAAAAAATATGTAATGTTTTCGTCCATAAAATTTTTTCAATATTAAAATATTTATCATATTTTTTGTTCAGTTAGAAAATAGTGCCCATATAAAGAATTCCATCCAATTTCATATACCATTAGCCATTGTTAAAATATCATGCGCGCAAGGTGGAAACATGGCGAAATAATTTGTCACAAAGAGGATTAAATTACAAAAATATTTGTGGCAACACAAATTTTCTGGTTACTAGTTTCCAAAGCAGCTATATTATGTAGTCAGCTGTAAACGGTTGGAAGTAATTGCTTTTAAAATAAATAAAATATCCCAATTCTTGTAGCAGTCACATATTCGAAGATCATGAGGGGTTTAAGGTGTATGAGCCCCCTTAAGTAAGTTTGTGCCCCAACTTCAGTATTTTTTTGCGGAGTGGAACGAAAAAGTAAACTTTCGATTTTGGGCACCGAAAAATCTGTCTTTTTACCCCCTGGAGATCATATATTCGAAGATTTCATAATTATTATATTTTATTTTATGTATGCTTATCATAATTTATATATTACATATATTTTATTTTATATATATATTATCATTATATTTATTTCATTATTTTTTATTTTTGCCACCTAGACGGTAGAGTATTTAGTGCCGTACCAAATTCCGGGGCTCCTATTCCGGAGGTTGTGGATGTAAATTTTCTGTCCCTCCACAGGAGGCAACGGTGGCCCACCTTTTAGTTGCCTCCTTAGTAAAGCTACCATTGCTTCCGGCCTTAATAGTGGCCAAGGCCTATAATAGCTAGTGCTCGCTATTGCAAAATATATATATATATATATATATGTAATAATAAAATTCCATAGTCAAGATTACAATTAAAATTCTAACTGTATGTTCTTTTCATTTCTAATGGCGACGTTCTCTTATTTGAAAGTACGTGGAATTAAATGCACAGCCCCGTAGTCAAGTTGTTTTTCCAGCCTTTTCTACACGTACAGTTTTAGAATGTTCTGGAAATATTTCAAGCGAACTGGATTGGCTGACGAGGGTGACGTCATTTTATGGAAGCTCCGCCTTTCCAGAGGCTATAAAAAGACTCGCAAAAGGAATATCGTGGCTTTTTCTTAAATGTCACGATGCAGTAAACCCTTCATACAAAATGTTATTAGTAGTTCTTTTTTATTTACTCCGGAGATCAGATTTTTGTAATTGCTATTTTCTCCTGAAATATAATAAATGGATCCTGTTTTTTAAAACTATCGTCTGATAATTTAAGCTACGACTACATTGATGATTCTTCAACAGTCTATTTATTCCTGATAAAACTGGTACATCACATATTATATATATATATATATATATATAATATATATTATCAAGCAAGGTAGTAATTACAATTTTGAAAAACTAATTTTGGTCTAGAAAACATCTTGCGCAATATGCTGGAAAATAAGTAAAACATAAAAAAATTTTCTTGGTCTTAGCAAGACCCACTTAGTTTGTTCTCATCTTAATTTTCTTTTCTTTTATTTTATTTTAATTACAGTTTTTCATTACACATTTCTAAAATATAAAAATTAAATTGTTAATCTTTAAGCTTGCAGGCCCAGCCCGTATGTTTTTGTATATTTAGGACTAATAGCTGACCGCTATTTATCTTCGTAATTATTTTTGATTTTAATATTGATTTTAGTCTAGATTTAAGATGTTTAGGTATTGTTTAACATATTTTAACACCTTAATGTGTCATTTTGCGCGGACGCGTCGGGAAATTGGAACAGAGAATTGAGACTATTAAAATTTCCAAGACACTTTGTCTAAATTTTAAAAAATTTTTGTAGCGAAAAAGTTTCAATTGTCTGTTTCGGCGAAACGCGTAATGGGGTTAGCTTGATTCGACGTTCAAATAAATGAAATTTCCCTTGAAAAGCCAGTTTGGAAGTCGAGTTGGGCTAATTTACCATTTTCCGCTTACCTTTTTGTCTGATTCTGTTTTTTTTAATGTTTTACATGTTTAATGGTTTGATTTTCATATGTATTAATTTTTTAAAACGTGTTGAACTTTTTGGAGCAGCAGCTCTTGGTAACTTTTAGGCGAGCTTTCTACATATATATATATATATATATATATATATTTCAGTGTAGACTATTGCATGCTGTAATGTATTTGCGTAGATACTCTACTAACATAATTCCACTAAGAAATGTAAAGAAATCGCGCGCAAGAATATCCGTGCAGACAATGCGCACGCTTAATTTTTTTTAAAGTTATTCTGTAAGTTTGGACTAATAAAATTAGTTGTTCATTCAAAATTGTCGAGATTTCTTTAAACGTCTTTACAGACGTATAAAAGAATAAATATCTGGTGGTAGTCGTTGGGATAGAAAGGTGAAACCAGTGTTTATTTAAAAACAAAAGAAATACAGTACGTGTCACCGTTATGGTTGAAATGCTGTTTAGCCCACTGCTTGGCGATTGTTTTTCAATGGGCAATAAACGCCCAAAATGGCTCACCCGATGTTTTGAAGCTGTATTGTTATTCTGTTGCCATTAGATGTTATCGCCCTGTGTTATATTTAAAGAAATTAAATATTGAAAAATCTGCATAAGTATTTCTCGCATTGTGATAAAACAACGGTACCTAGAGCCATCAAATTTTGAATAACAAACGTTTCCGAACTAATATGGGCATCTGGAAGCCCAAACTTGGAATTTGGAAATTTTTTTATTATCTGATTGATATTTTGTAAAACTTGAACGAATTTTTGATTAACAAACTCAAAGTTTTCAAAGCGAACAACGGCAACACAGTACGTGAAAAAAAAAAAAAAAAAAAACATTTTTACGTGCAAAGCGCAAAATTGTGTATCGGAAATTCTAAAGATATGCTCATTTTAAAATTATTTTGCGATATTGCTGTTGAACTGAACTTTATGGTTTAAGTGTAAAGAACATTATATTTGATAAAGAAAGGTAACACACAAAACGTTAAAAAAAATGCCCCTTTGGGCGTAATTTAAAATCTGAAAGCTTTAATTTTTTAAAAAATTTTTACTTAAATTTTTGCTTGTTAATTTGAGCAGTTAATTCTGTTGCGGTTGAATGTTCTTATGTGGTGGTTCTTTTGTAATCGAGTATTTTCCCCCTGTGGATTTTTGCCTTTTTTCTCCATATATTACGGAAACGGAGTATAAAACGTTAGTAAATTTATTTAAACATGAGGGGGGATCCAAAAGGGTTTCCTCCTGAGATAACTTCAATATACACACATAAAACCACTCAAAAAGATTTTAAATTTTTCTTGAAAAGGGTAAGTGAAAAAAATTTTCTTGTATGGTTCGTTTTAAAGTTGCTTATTTTTAATATTTTGTATTTCTTTTTGGCTCGATCTTAGAAGATTGGAAAAGCTGAGGTTGTGCAATTCTCTGATGTTTTCTTAAGAGAAAATAGATCGATAGGTACATGGGCAAAGCCAATGCAGTGCGCAATGCCGTGTTTGTGCAATTCTCTGATGCTTTTTTAAGTGAAAATAGATCAATGTGTACATGGGTAAAGCCAATGCAGTGCACAATGTCGAGGTTGTGCAATTCTCTGATGCTTTTTTAAGTGAAAATAGATCGATGTGTACATGGGTAAAGCCAATGCAGTGCACAATGTCGAGGTTGTGCGCGATGCCGAGTTTGTGCACTTCTGGGATGTTTTGTTAAGTGAAAATAGATCGATGTGCACATGAGCAAAGCCAATGTGGTGCGCAATGCCGAGATTGTGCGCGATGCCGAGTTTGTGGAATTCTGGGATGTTTTTTAAGTGAAAATAGATCGATGTGTAC